TATGGTATGGAATAGCTCTTTGGTCAGTTTGGGTTAGCTGTGCTAGCTGTGCTGTACTCCCAGTTTGTTATGCACCTGGCCGAGCAGGAGAAGCTCAAAAAGTCCTTGAGTAGTCTGAGCACTACTTGGCAACAGCTGAAAACATCAGTGTGTTATCAACATTCTTCTGGTACTAAATCCAAAACACAGCACTATGCTAGCTACTGTGAAGAAAATTAACTCTATCCCAGCTGAAACCAGGACAGGATGCAAAATGCCATCGTTAGCCATAGCCTTGGCTCCAGCAGCATCCACAGACCAACCCATTTCCAAGGGGAGGAGTTGCCCTCTCCAAGTAAGAGTCCCTTTGGCTGGACTACACGCTGCGGAGGGGCCATCGGAGCCTGCAGCACTGGCAGGAAGGTGGGTGACATTTCAGGAAGACCCCATCCCCACACATACCAGCCCCCGTGGTGAAGGGACCTGCCTGATGAAGCCAAGGTTGTTACGCACGCATGATGCTTCACCCGCCCAGGGGAGAGGAGAGGGCTTTCAGCCACAGGGCATCTCTGAAAATCACTTTCAAAGAGCCAGGGGGAGAAGAGAGGAAACTCAGCCAGGAGATAGATGGAAGGGGAAACCCTGGAGCTCTTCCACCCGGCCGGCTGCACCTCCATCACCAGGTGGGAGTGTTGTACTCCCAGAGAGCCCTTCACCGAGCTCGGCGCCCAGGGAGGCTCAGGCACCACTGCAGAGAACAGCCCAGCAGTTTATTTCTCCTTCAGATCCCTGGTACCGCTGCCAGGAATAAATGCATAAGGATTATCCTTCCCTGTCAGGAAGAGGGAGAGAGAGGACTCAGCCAGAGATTTAAGCGCATATGGCGCATGAATGAGCGGGGGACGGCTGATGGAGGTGGCCTTCTGCCAGGGGTGCACAGGGTTTGGGGAAGGTTTCTCAGCTTGCTGAAGGCGTTTGCTTCTTGCAAAGTCCAGGCAGAGCCTTCCTTGCCTTTTCTGAAACAACCGAAAAAAGAGAGATGGTGGACTGGGGTTGGTTGGGATTTTTTTTTTGCATAGCCTTTCCATACAAATGTATTTAATTACCCTGAGAAGGCCTCCCAAAGACAGAGGGGAAAAGCATTAGGATATTCCGGCTGTGTACAATTCCTCCCCTGCTCTGCCGCCCGCAACTGCAGGAGCTGTATCCGTTTCAGGCTGATCGCTTTCCCTCGCTCATCTTTCTCCTGCGCTGACAGCTCAGATGCACAGATGGACAAAATGTTCCTGGAGCATCTCAGACAGGACACCCCCCCGCCCCCCAAAAACGCTTCCTCCCAGATGTGCCAGCCCAGCCAGAGGACCGAGCTGGAGAAGGATCCTCTGGGAAGGGAAAGGAGGCCATGCTGGGGGGGTGGGATGTGCTACCAAATGACTTTGCCACCATGTGCCAAAAGTAAAATAAAATTAAAAAAAAAAGGGGGGGGGGGGGGGGGGAAAGCCCAATGCTTTCACTGCCAAAAGCCACTTTCACCTTCTTCCCCACTACTCAGCAGAGCATTTTTGTGGGAAGAATCGTAAAATTCATTCAGAGGGAAGAAATAAAGCAACCAAGCAGCCAACAATAAAAAACCCATTTCCTCACGGAAGGACAGCTTGATTTTAACGGCCAGGAGCATATGCTGCTCCCGTCAGCTTCAATAGCAGCTCCTCAGCACCTCTGAAAAAAGTCAGGCAGTGGATCAGCAGAGTCGTCAGCCCTCCCAGCTGCCGTGAGCGGGACCGTCACCGCTGTGCCAGGCACGCATCCCACTCTAGAAGCCCCTCTCCAGAGTGTGAAATGACCACGTTTTCCATCTCCTTCAAACGTGAGTTAAAAACACAGACCAGCAGCCAGACTGCCAGGTGTGAGAAGACACCAACATTTTCTCTGAGCTTCCTAAGGAGGGAGAGGGGAAGGGCTGGCTTCACTCAGCTCCCACCAAACCCAGCAAGAGGAACCTCTGTGGTTTCCATTGCTCCAGATGTTCCTTTGGCCCCTGCGAGCCAGCACACAAGGCTGCTTCCTTGCGCTCCCTCTCCCCAAGCACTCCAATAGCTCTGCAGATAAAAAGCAACACCAAAAAAAAAAAAAAAAGTCCTTCACATTAATTAAACCATATTGTTTGAAAACAAAACCAAAACATCCTGCTTTGTCTTGCAGGAAAGAAAGGGATAGTTTCTGATATGGGAAAATACAGAACTGATGGGGAGGAAGGTCAACTGCACGCTCATCCTTGAGGAGCACTGGCCCCATCTGACAGCCCAAATAGAGATTTTGTTCCATTCTCAAATTCCTGCTCCACACCCCCCAAGAGAGGTCACTCCTCTTGGGCAGTTTGCGATTAGCAGCCGTCAGGGCGTTTAGAAACTGGCCCCAAGCAACGGAAATAAAACAACCGGTAAGAGAGAGGCAGAGAGAAGTGATTTGCTTTAGAAGTGAAAGCCTTTAAGTCTGTGGTTTTTTTCACAGACGTCCCCCAAGGTTTTGTCATATTAATCTCTTAATGGGTTTATGGTAATTGTATACACGGCAACATCGAGCGGGCAATCCTTCTGCTGAGGAGTGCTCTTGTGCAGGGGTAAAGCACTAACCGAGAAGATCAGATTCAAATCCCTGGCTCAGGTACAGCCCTGACCAGAGTTGGACCAGACACTACTCACAGCTGCAGAGCTGCAAAGCCCTGGAGAAGGGGGCTGGATGCACAGGAAAGGCCATTAGGACAGTGCAGCAATGTTTTCAACAGCCCAGTACTACAATAGTGGCAGCACAGCACTGGGGAGAAATAATTGCTGGAAAGGAAAAAGATGAGACCTTGTGCTGATGCTGGGCTATGTGGACAACTCGGGCAACCCAGGCTGCATTTCCAGCTCTGCCACTGACTGCTTGCATGACCACGGGCAAGTCACCAAGGACAGATTTTTTCTCCCCCTTTAAGGTAATCTGACATGCAGAAGAGCCCACAAGCCAGGTTTCCAAAGGTCCCTAGTCTTGCAACTACCAGCTGGCACAACAGCATCTGCCCCATGTCCAGACAGGGAGCACGCACACAGACCATCCTGGTGGCACTGGCACTGCCACTTCCCCTCTGTGGATATGCATGGGCAAGGACGGGGAGTAAGGTAGCACGCAAGAACGAGGATGCGCGCTCCCCTCCGGACCACAGCCTCTTACCTGCTTCTTCTTCAGCTTGGAGATCTGCTGCTCCACCATGGTGATCTCGCGGTCCACACGGTCCATGTTCTGAATGAGCTCCTCCTTCGACAGCCGGGCTGGCAGCAGGTCCAGCTCGGCATCGGGGTGAGCAGGGCTCACAGGCGACACGGGCTCCAGTTTGCCAGGCAGGCCACGATCCTGGGGAGCACAAAACAACCAGGTCAGGTCCTTCCCAGGAGACTTTGGATCCTCCTCTCACCCTCCCATGCCAGCTGCTGCAGCTCCCTGGACCATTCTCATCCCTCTGAGACACACACCCCCCTCAAAAAACTTGCTAGACTAAGCAGTACCAGCTGCTGGATCACATCACCGCAGGGCTCCGCAACTTCCAGAGAGCACCCGGTTAGTCTCCTGTGGACTCGACAGCAGCTCGTCCTCCTGACAGAGCCTCAGAGGCTCCCACCACCTTCAATTCTACCCACGTTACTACAGGATCAATAAACCCATCCATATTCAGGAGCTCCCAGCAGAACCGTCACTTCACATCTCAGCAGCCAGCTCAAGGCTATGTCTTGTCCACAAAATTGAGGTAACCCCAGACGTGTCCTCCTCTGACTCAGCCACAGCCATGCTGGAGAGAAGAGCAGCATTAACCATGCCAAACAAGAAGGGGCTATGAGGGCGGCCTCCAGTAGGAGAGAGGACCCCCAGCTCCTTCATGGAGATCCTCCTCCATCTTTTCTTAAATTCTAGGGGGAGCTCCGTGCATCGGATGTCAAATGCATGCATCCAGAAATAGAAAGAAGATAGGTAAGGTCAGCTGAGATAAAAATAGACTGAACTGATGAAAACTAGCTTTTTAAATTCCAGGTAAAGAAGCACTCATCTCAACAAGACCCTTCAAATCAGAGACTAGACAGATCAGCAGAACCTCCATGGCGGTCACAGGGAGCAGCAATAATGACAATGGGCTGGGGGCAGAGGGAAAACACATCAAAACACTCAGCAACTCCTCCAGCAACACGATGACTTTGCCGAGTCCAGCAAGCTGGTATCCCAGGAGCATCCCGGAGCCACAAAGCCTCACCTGCACACCACCCTTCACCTCTTCTGCTCCAAATGAAGGAGCCCATCTCCTGCCAACACAAGTTGCATGCCTGGATGAGGGCAACCCCCACTGATGAACATACCTGAGATGAAGTAGCTGTTCAATAGCCATCGGCCATGCAGATGGGGATCACAGCACACCAACAGCCTACCCTGACCTGGGATGCTCCTCTCTGGTAACTCCCCAGCACCTTAATTAAAAGTTTATCTATTCATTTGCTTAGAGAGGGGATGGATTTCTTTTCCTGGAGGGGGCAGGAAGAGGAGCTGTGGCTTGGTTTGTAACTGTAAACCACTGCTAGGCTGGGCAGCCAGCACGCTGCAGCTGCTGGGGAGGGGAGGCGAACAAGCAAAGAAGTCCACACAACTTTGCTACCTTCATTACAGCAGCCCTATGCCCGCGTACAAAGCCAACATTGTTCTGCACCAACTGGTGCTGAGCATCCTCCCCGCCGCACTGACTCACGGCCACAGACGAGCAGCCAGGGCTACCCACTGACCCTCTTCCTGGGCTGGCCCTCCTGCGGGGGCAAGGGCGAGACGGTGGAGCGCAGTGGCACTGAGATGGTGTGGACCCCTCTGTGCTCCTCCGACGAGCATGGATGATGGCCCTGGGTTGTTCGCCGGCCACGTTGCAGCTCATACCAAACATGGCAAGCACCTAGATGCCACCTTGGCATCTCCACCACTCAGCATCTCCATAGCATCTGCTTATGGGGAAGCAGAACCATGCAGGGCGGCCTCCACCCTGCTGCTGGTGGGGATGAAGCATGGTGAGGTCCCTCCTGGGGAGGCTGCACCTACAGCCTGGCACAGCCACAGGAGACCTGGCTTTGAAGGCAGTGCGGAGGTGGGGCTGTGCTGAGAGGAGCTCTGCCCTATTCCGCTCCATAAGGGATGGGCAACATCATCTGCAACAAAGCTGGAACAAGGGGAGGCAAAAGAGGATGTTTCCCAACAAAATGGTCATGTCCCAGGGCACCAGCACCATTCACTGGTGCCTTCCTCCTCCTCTCCCCTGCTAAACCCTGTTCTTGCTGAAGGAGACATCAAGCCAACCAGGGAGGAACCACTGCTGGGTACAGCCTGGAGGCATCAACGCCCTTCCCACTGCTGCCATCAAGGGACAGAAAGCAGAGGAGCAATCTGAGCCCCTTCCTCCCTGTTCCGTGGGGCGCTCATCCAGCTCTAAGAGCACAGACGCCCCGGAAAGCTAAGCGTGTTGTTTCCTGCAGCCGTTCAGAAGAGAAACTAGAAGAACATCAAAGGTTTCTGGAAAATCCCAAAGCACAGTTCCTGTCTTGTTTTACTTCCCCAGCATTAGACACCAAAACCGGTCAGTCTGCTGCAGCAGGCTTTGTGTTCTCCACAACTGGTTCTTTTTTGTTTTGGTTTGGGTTTTTTGGTGGGTTTGGGTTTGGTGTTTTTTTTTCAAGCAAAAGGAGTAGGGCAACCACAGGAAGCAAGAGATAAATTAGGTGTTCATAAAATCTCGTCCAGATTAAGGCATGGGAAAGGGAAGTGGCAGTGGCTTGTAGGTGGGTAGGTTTTCCTAAAGGAAAGCAAGCTATCTGGCAAAAATGCAGGAGAGAAAGACTTCTCTCTGTGCCGTGAAACAAAAGATACTATCTCAGGTCTGCCAATATGCAAAACAGGGCATCTTTAAACTCCTGCTTGGCACAAAACCCTCTGGAAGCCCGGTTTCTGATACATTTTTATCTTTTTACCTTGCAGAATCTGAAGTAAAATAGCAGCAAAGCTGAATAAGGGGAACAGCAGCAAGTCACAGCACAAAAGCCATCATCATCTAGTATTAGGAGATGATTATAGCAATAGAGAGAGGCAATGTCCCTGGACCTCAAATAACTGGTCACTCTCATTTCACAAGCACCTCTCTAAATAAAGGAAATGACAAGCAGCAAGAGTAAGGAAAAACCAAAACTGAAGGCAAACCAACCAAACAAAAAAAAAAATCTTGCCCATGCAATGGTGAAGTCCAAAAGCAGAGCTCCTGGATTTATGCAAGGCACAAAAAGGCCCTTCTTCTAAATCACAAAAATGGGTTGAAAAGAGGTTTGCAAGGACCAGAGTCCAAGCCAGAGCCTGGGGTGGACGCTAATGGATAGAGATATTTTAACTAGCGCTCTTTTTCCTAGCACTCTCGAGAAGCCGCTCAAAATATATTCCTCTGCTTCAGATAGCATCATGCCCAGGCTCTGAACCAGTGCAGTGTGAAACGTGAAATTCTTCTTATTAAAGTGAAGTCACAGACTTTGAAACCAGCATGAGCTGGGAGAGCTGGAATAAATCTGCTGGAGGGAAGAAAACAATTACGGCATTACTCAAGTTGATATTTTCTCAGTAATTATACTGTTTCCATGTGATTTGTTTCTATACACGGCTAACAGCTACTGTAGGTCCTGTTTATCCCTGGCCTTATTATTATGTGATTTGTATGATAACAGGGGTGGGCGAGTGGGGGGCAGAGGCTGCATAAACCTTCCCACAGCAAGAAGGGATGCCGGCACTGAGGAAAACAATTATCACCGAGGAGTCTATCAAAGAGCAAGGCTGGCTTCGGGGGTGGGTTTCTTCTACACGCTTTTATTCCTAACATAGATAATGTTAATGGAGCAAGCCTGCTACAAGCTATTAGGCCATGGCTTAAAAGACATGGGACAAAGAGAGGAAGGAAAAGGATCAGCCTGTTGATGCCTTGAAGGGCAAGTAAGCCTCCAGGTAGATTTGACGCCCCTGCTTTCAGATGTGCTGGAAGCTGGGTCCACAAGAGACAGTGGGAACCCCAACCCTGGTCCCAGGACATACTGGAACCTGCACCAGACTATTGCCTCATCCTCATTTTGCATTACCGACCCACCCCGCAATGCTCCCAGGGAGCTTGCAGGAGTCGGTGGGATGGAGAAGGGTGCCTGTGCCACCGTCAGCCCAGCCTCTGTGGAGGGTAATTTTTCTCAGCTTCTTCCCACCCTCGGGAGCCAGCAGAGCGGTAGCTCTGCTCCATCTGCATGTAACTCTTGCTGCAAAACGCATTTTGACTCTGATCCCCTGACCACACCAGCTGCCTCTTCAAGACTACACTGGTGGAGCTTCAAAGCCTCCACGCCCCAGTCAGTGCCTGTGCAGCACAAGCCCGTACCAAGCGAACAGAGCCACTTGCTTGGGACGACCTCAGGATCCCAGCACGGCACCACGGCGTTCGTCTTGATATATCGTCTTCAGTAAGTCCTGGTCTCTCCCTGCCTTTCTAAACCAGATCATTAGCGATGTTCCCCCAAGCCCAGGACAGAGATTTGGGGATGCCAACATCACCTCTTCCACGCTCTGTTCGCTTTCTAATTATGGGTCGGCAGCAGCATTTTCTGCTGCAGCACCGGGAGGGATTAAGAGGTGTTATCTCCAATTCCTGCCCACTTGCACATCTCATGTCCTTGCAGGCTGGATAAGATTACCAAAGCAATGGGCCGGGGCTGCTCAAATTGTGCTCGAATTAATTCCTCCCTAAAAAGCCGCCACGAACAAAGGGCGGACTTGTGATAAGACAGACACAGGCGGGGTGGCCTGCCTGCGAGGATGCCTCCATCACCCGAGCCCTTCACGGCAGCACAGAACCAGTGAACACTGCTGAACTCCACCAACTAATAACGCTCCCCAAAACGTGTCCACGTGAGCCTGTGCTACACAGCAGAAGCTTGGCCTCCCCGTCCAGGAACCCATGGCCAAGCAGCATCGCACGCCCCAGCGGACACAGAGCCCTGGGGCTTTCCCACAAACCCCAGGACAAAAACCAAGCAGGAGGGCCAACACCTCACACCTCCATCCATCAAGTTTTAAGGCAAAAACAGGCATATAAAAGTCTTAATTGGGCCAAATACAGACCAAAGGAATTTTTTTTTTAAAAAAATTGGAAAAGTGTCCAACACATTCTGGCGTATCAGCAGCCCCAAGATGAGAGCACTGACAGGGGGCGGGGGGAAGTCAAAGGGGCTGAAAAGTAATGTCTCATTTCCCCAGGGAGACGGGCAAGTACGAAGTCAGAGAGCCTGAGCAGTGAAAAGTACATCGAGTTATTG